CTGGCCACGGACAAATTCAGCTAAGTAAACTCTGGTGCTTGGCTTGCTGCTGCATGGGCACACAACTTGTCGCGAGCACTGAACACCTGTCCAATTGTGCTAGGAACACCTGTGACACCACCGAAGGAGGGGTTAGGGAGTCTGGGGGAAAACGAGCCGCGGCTGCCTGTGCTCGGGTGGGAATGTAGACAAGCTGATCCTGGAATACAGTGAACGGTTGTGCGTGAATGTGACATCTGGAAGCCGCTTAAGACGAGCCTTCTGTTTTGGGCGGATGTGGCGGCGAGGTGTAATCTGTGCTGTCTCACACACCCTATTCGTCTTGCTGTCGGTCTCCATGGCGGGTGGAATCGGAACGATGTCGGAGATCTGACCGAAAATTAGACATAAACCGACTGTGGTGATTAGTGCTGACACTATCCTCGGGTAGCCTTTTGCGGGATCCAACCCTCATGGGACGTATCTGCCGGTTTGTGAGACTTTGTAGGATACTTGGATGACTGCATGACTCTGTGGGCAATTGGCGAAATGTGATCATTACCAAACCCGTTGTTTGAAAACCTGGAAACATTCACAACAGTCGAGGTGTGGGGCTGAACCAGAATGAGTAGAGTTTGCAACTCTCCAAAGGGACAATGGATGCGTTGGTTCGCATTTCTTGCAAACGTCGTAGGGCTCTCAATATGGCTTAAGGTCTCTCCTGAAGCCTGGCCGGTGGGAAAACGGCGTAGTCATGCCATCGTGAGGTTAACATTGAGGCGGCCTGCAAGCTTTGTCCTGGTGCTACCAAAAAGGGAGCGACCATTTCGCATGTTCAGAGAGCACTTGTCTTGACCTTGTAGGCTAGACTCTTTGAGGCTAGCTGTCGAAATAGCGACTCTGATTACTGATGAGATTGTCAGTGCGCTCATTAGTGGGGCACCAGTCAAGCCAACTTTACTGCGAGACTCAGGATCCAACACCGTAATAAGAGACTACTTTCCTGATTCGACCATGTTCTAGAAATTTGATAAAACAATGCGAATTGAATATTTGAATTTGTATAAACACCACGAATTGAGTAATCATACGAAACATAACAAAAGAAACAAAATGATGGTTAAATTTCCGTTAAAATGGGGAAGATGTCCAAAAGTATGGCTAAAGACTACTTACTGCTTCCCTTCCATTTTTGTGTTGCATGGAAACTCTGATGCCACACATTGTGCTGGCATATGGAAAACAGCAAAAATTGAAGGCTTACCCAAATGGTGTTGGTAGAGGCAACGTAGGATGACCCTGATTATTGACGCAGCTCGCTTTGAACTCGTGGAGGATTGTACCCGTGGTGATCGGCCAACAAGCGACTTTGATGCTCCTAGATGTGTCCAGCAGTAGCCAACACATATCTGGTACCCCAAGCGTCAAGGGAACAGTTAAGCTACAGCAAAAAGAGCAGTTTGCGCCATGATTTTGAGCTCTGCAGCCCACCTGGCCGATCCC